ATTTTTGAATATAACAGATATGCCATGTTGATTTTTTATGTTTGTTAATAACATGATTGTTTGTGATTTTCAATCTGTATTTATGATCATATTTGAATTATAGGATGATAACTAATACTAGAATGAGTATTCATAAGCCATATATGCATTTACAATTTTGTTAGCACTGAACTCTTATAGAGTTTGAAAAGGCTAAAAAATTATCGAAATTTATTCGAGTTTGAATAGCCTGAATATTACTAAAACTCCTGAAGAGTTGATAGTTATTAGTACTTCAAAAGAAGTTTAAAAGGTTGTTACTTGCCTGAAGCAAGAATTTAAGATAGAGATCTTGGAAGGACAAACTTTTGTCTTGGTTTGCAAATTTAAGCATTTGGACAATAGCATCTTTTTGCATTAATAAATTTATATTGCTAAAGTGCTTCAGCGTTTCTATATGGACAAAGCACATCATTTGAGTATACCACTGTTGGTGAGAACACTTGATAGGGTCACACACGCTTTAGCCTTTGTGGAAAATATGACTACTTGGTCTAGAAGTATCATATTTTAGTGCTATTGGATCATTAATAAATCTTGCTAGTCATACACGGTTTGATATATCTTTCGCTGTGAATTTATTGGTTAGATATAGTTTTTCACCTACTCTTAAGGCATTGGAAATTTGGAATGGTGTTAAACATATATTCCGCTACCCTCAAGGTACGTTGGATTTGGGTCTTTATTACTTTTGAACATTAAAATCTGATGTAAATGCTGAGTATTTATCGGATCCTAATAATGGTCGATCCCAAAATAGTTATTTTTTACATGTGGAGGAAAAGCCATTTCCTGGCACTCTATGTAGTAGACACTAACTGCAACTTCTACCAGCCATGCTCAAACTTTTGGCAATTCATGAAGTAAGTCAAGAGTATGTTTGGTTAAGATATATTGTTCAGCAGATTTCAGAATCCTGTGGCTTAAAATTGGATAAGAGTATTCTTACTGCTATTGATAACACTGCATGCATTGATCAATTGAAGGAATGATATATAAAAGGTGATAGATTGAAGCATATTTCACCAAAGTTTTTCTTACTCATGTTCTACAGAAGAAAGTTTCTGAGAAGTTGATGCACAACATTGGAATACTACAGTTGAAAGATATCAAGTGATGTACTCATCAAGAGGAGTAATATGCATTGTACTCTTTTTCCCTTGACCAAGTTTTTATCCCAATGGATTTTTCTTGACAAGGTTTTTAACGAGGTAATGTCATATTCGAACATGTACTCTTTTTCCTTCACTAGAGTTTTATCCCGAAGGGTTTTTGCCTAGTAAGGTTTTAACGAGACATTGTTCTACAACGATGGACATTCAAAGGGGGAGTGCTATGGAATATTTGATTTGATTGGATTGAATGTCCACAATTAATATGTATTATTCTGTTTACAATCAAGGAAATATGATTCCATAATATTTAGCATTAATTATATGTGATTTATTTCACATAGTTTGATCCCCTACTTCTTTATAAATAGGGAGCTCAGTCATGTTTTAGAATACATCTCAATACAAGTCTTTCATCTCTCTACTCTCTTGTCTTCTCTTTTTTGTTATGCTTAGTTTCATATTAGGTTTAGCATTAATTTTATAAAAAAAATATATTTTTAAGATTTTATTTTTCATTAAAACTAAATCAAATTTAGGTCAAATAAAAAACATTTATAATAACCACGGGTATATTATACAAAGAGAATACCTTTTCCATTCCAACAAAAAGAAAAAAAATACTTCTTCTCCTATATTTGTAGTTTGTTTAGAGTAACAAAATAATAATGAATATTGTCTGGTTGAACAAATTATATGATTCTAATATTGGAAGGGAGAAAGTAAAAGGTTTAATGTACATGCACCCTAGGATTTTAATATGAGATAAAACCTACATTTGAATAAACTGAATAAACCTGATTTTGATTTCATTCTGATAGTGTACTTTTTAGTTTTTACCTGTTTTCTTTTTTTACAAACATACAAACATAATAATTATTATATGTTGTCTACCCTCCTTGTACTAAACTTTTTGTTTTGATGAGATGCGAGATATATCTACGTCACAAAACACACAAAATGTAGATGGTTAATAAGTAAACAAATCCAATGTATCCACGCAATTTATAGAGATTAAAGTAAATGAAAAATTCAATCAAAGGTAAAATCCTATTCAGAACTTCAATTCATAATGTAAATTATAAATATCAGAACACTTTGAAACTAAGAAAGCTAACGTAAAATCATAATTCGAACTGGAGTCCCTTCATTCAATAACAGATCTTGCTAATTTAGATGACCTCAATTATAAACTAATGAATGGAACTTCAAAAAAAATTCCATTTTTTTAATTTAAATAGCCTTCTTGGTCCATTTTGTTAATTTAAATAGTCTTTAATTAGCGAAGAGTGGTGATACATGCAGATTAGACAAGTAATTTTATAAGAAATAAGCTGACTAAATCTTAATTATCTCATAACCCTTAAATAGATTTTAAAAAAGTATAATTATGAACGGTTATGATTTATTCTTGGTTAAAATTCCTTATAAAAGTTTCCAGCATGAATCATTATCTATTAATGAATGATGCCCCCTCTCCCTTCTAAAAAAATTTTAGTGATTTTTCTCGGATGAAAGAGTATTTTATTACTCCCTCCGTCCCATAATTATTGTCCAGTTTGAGTTTTCAATTTTAGTTCAAATTATACTAAAAGTAAAATCTCAAACTAGACAATAATTTTGGGATAGAGGGAGTATTTTATTTGGAATTAGTATATTATTTAAACAAACAGACGGGAAAACATTTTCCAATTGGACTTCTGATGGGAGCCGATGCCTATCGCGACTAGAATGCTAGATTAATTCAGAAAATGAAGTAAAAGCGATAGAACAGTCAAAGTGATTCAAGTTACACTGTTCGCCAAACCAGCTCGACATTTTCAAAAGGGGTAACTAGTCCACGCTCTTTGGCTTCGAAGCATGTTTAATGGCACTTAAACATAAAGAGGTAGATCGATGTTAAACATATCATCCCAACTTTGCCTTCACTAAATTAAAAATCGCTCTTGTAATTGTAAATTTTATTACTTTTAGTTCCGTCACTGACCAGTATGAATTAAGAAGTGAAAGGAATTTGAAGTTGGTGGATATATTGAGTGACAAGGTTCATCCATCATCTTTAACCGAGGGTGATATTTTATCGCATTTGTAGCATAGGAAAAATAATTAAAATCCTTTTATTTTTAAAATGATCACATTATGTCCAATAGTACAAGAATTTTATTGTGGGACAAAGAAAATATATATAACTCTACCATAATGATAAAAAAAGGTTAATTAAAGTCGAATATGATTTTCTATTGAATCACAACTTCACAATATTGTTATGTCAAAAGGAGAATGGTCGCAAATTCAATCTTACAAATCTACATAATGTGTGGACGATTAGTGATGTTTCTCTTTCATTTATTTATTTTTTTCTGTCGTATAGTATCTATCGATGATAATCATAAATAATTTTTTATAAATATATAAGTCGGGATTGCTTAGTTATTGAGTGTTAAGTCCAAATTATGTTTGATCGTTCCAGAGTTACCAAGTCAACTGCAAATATATGTTCATGGAAATGACATAATGCAGAATCCTTTAACCTTGTTTGAAGGTCGTCAATAGATGATTTATAAGAATCGATAATCAAGAATTATTATTTTTCATTTGTTGTATTAAAACCGTCCAACAAATCATACGAACCTACACAATTATTGTAGTTCATCCAAGACGAAAAAAAGGACCATTGACATTGGGTGGTCATATGACTCATGAGCCACTCAACCCAACCCACCGTCCCAAACAGTCCAATTTCAATTGGAATATGTGTGGCGCAGTCCAAAATCTAAGTCAACTTTATTTACCAAAGGCCAGCTTTTGTTATGATTGTATCACTATCATACCAGATCACAACCTTTGTATTCTTATGCAAAATCATTCACATAATAAAGAATGTTAATGACTGAATGATTATGTTAATCATTTGGAACTAAACGTAAGGTTTGGTTTTGGAATTTATAATTATTAATATAAAAATATACGCTGCCTACCTTCACACGATTTAATGATAATTATAAAAAAAACAATGTCCTATATGATTAATTAATGGTGTGATTGTTGCAACTTGTACTTCAAAACGAATCAATCAATCATTCTTTTTGAACAACCATTTCTCAGAAATTAGTAAAAGAAGTGAAAATGATTGAAAAAATCAACGTACTATTTAGTAAGTTAGTAACCAGACTTTGAAGGTTACGTATTATTCAGAAAATTAAAAAATAAATTATTCTCTTTATTTTATAATGAAAATTATGATTCCATTTAAAGGAAAAAAAAGATTTTTATTCATAAAACTCCTCCTGAGTTCTTTTAACTTGAACGAAAATTATGACTTTGTCTTATTGAGTTTGACTTACTTTTTCATTGCATTTTTCTTTTTGAAGGTAGATTTGCTGACTTACTAAATTAACTCCATATGCTGCAACCTCCAACGGTTATATAACACAAGTACAATTTTTTATAAAAGAAAAAAATTACTAATAATTTTATAGTAAGTTGCAACTTGCAAACCTCAATTTGAAGAGTAGTAAAGTCTCATTAATCACTTCACTAATAAGGTCACATCTGATTTTGACTCCAATAAACAAAAATTCCTATTCACATTATTTTGTGTCTAATTTGAGGACGAATTAGTCGAAGAGAATATAACAACCTATATCAATTTATAATACTCGATTTTATTGTATTTCATAAAATATGAAAAACTACTAGAACTTTAAAGTTTCATATATTGAAGATAAGAAAATAAAACCAAAACATTATCCAAATGAATTATTGCACAATAATGCCGCCATGTGAGAAAAAACAATTGAATAAAACCAGCTCCATCCCATCTAGACGAAAAAAAGAGAAAAAAAAAAGAAAAGAAAAGAAAAGTAACAACAATGTTCTGAAATTTGTCTCGTTAATTGTTGCCTAGCTGTACCTTTATTGATTAATTAATTCTGATTATTAATTAACATTGGAAAAAGGCCATAATTTTTTCATTTGTTAAATCTGCAAACCTCCAAAAGCCAAAACCAGAGACCTGAAAGCATTATTTTGTAGAGATCTAAACCAAACATAGCCATTCCCGACCAGCACCAACTCCCACAGTCAGCTTTCAATCACTCCTTTATTGTTATACTTCCAAATTCCAATTTCCAATAAACCTTGAACAAATCCTTTGTTCATTTCTCTGTCCTGAAGCAAAAAAACTGTTGCTTTCTGTCCATGGAATGAAAGAAAGAAGTGTTTGCTTTCAGTCTTGATCATCATCATCATTTCTGCCTTTTCCGTTACATTTCTTGAAAAGGAAAAAAACCCATCTTTTCAATTCCCTTATTCTTTGATTTGGTTGGTGGTGTTGATGTGTTCTTAAAAAAATTCATCACCACCAAATATATGTTGGATGGATTTTGGTGATGAGTTTTTGATTGAGAATTACAGAGTGCCATGGCTTATATGGGTTCAGTTATTAGTCATGATTCTTCTTGTTCTTGTGCTTTTTTTATGTGGGTTCAGCATCTTTTCTTCGGATCAGTCCAGCAATTCCAGCAGCTCGGGAGCGTCATCATCTTCTTCTTCCTCCTCCTCTTCTCAGTCCCATGTCAAAAAGCCATTGCTCGATAACACCAGTTCTAAGGTCTATTTCTTGTCCCTTGTAGTTTTCATTGTTCCTTTCCCTCATCATTATGCACATTTATTAGAGTTTTTTTTTCTTAATAATTGTCTCTTTTCTGGGTGATTGGTAAAAAGTTTTGAAGGAATAGATAACTGGGAATCAGGGATTTTTCTGTTACTGATTTCCGGAAAGAGAGTTTAGATTTTCTTTTGGTCAATTTGTTTCATATAATCTGATCTTGGATTGAAATAGCTATGGATTATGTAGAGCAAAATATGAAGTGATGATCTCTTTTGTTATGTCCTTTGGGGGATTCGAAGGGTTGGATGCTTTTTATCTTTGGAGAGAATTGGTCTGTGAAAAATGAGAAATGGTCTTTTACAAGGTCAATCGTTCTTCCTTCTGAAGTTTGCCGTCTAATTGTTGTTGGGGAGTCTGTTGTTAACCTATCCCACTGGTGAGTTAGAATGAGAATGATAATGTTGCACAGCTTGCTGAAATCAGTTAGACTTTTTTTTTTGTTGGTAAACATCTTTAGCGAAATAGCTTCAATTTGTGGCTGAAAATGGATTCGTAAGCTGTCAATTGGACTTAATTTTTGATGGTAAACATCTTTAGTGGAGTACCTTCAATCTTTGTCCAAAATTGTATTTTTTGAATATAGATAGGGGAAAATGGGAGTGAATATAGTAGTGTTGAGCTGGAAAGGAAGATACTTTGAGCACTTTATAAGTTCTCCGCGAAATGCAGCATTTATCCTTTTTTGTTTCTGGTTAAATTTATCCTATAAAATAGCTAATAATTAGTGGTGTCGTCTTGATCTTTATTGAGGGGTACTTAGAATCTGCTTGTTGTCTTTTGCTATTTTTAGGTTGTTGATTATTTCTTAGTACAATAATTCTCTAATTCCAAATATGGGAACCTTCTTTCTTTTTAGTTTCAAACAACCATGGCCGATCATGAATGACATATTTTTCTACATCTTGGAAATTCCTGTTTAATGGTTCTTCTAAAAGCATTTTCTGTTGGACTATCTAATCAAGGATTGCTGCCCTTGAAGTAATATATATGTGAACATATTGGAAAACCAAATCTAAATTGGTTGTAATGTATGAAATTGTTGATAATCAGTCAATCTATTTGCTGTCTGGTTTTGGAAAATGCAAAGAACAATTATTGCATGGGGATCCTTTTTGTTGGGAGAGTTGGCAATTCGTATTAGCTCTGCATTGAATTGTTTCGTTGAAAGGGGATTTGAAAGACGCACCATGCTGAAAAAATCGTTCTGTTTATGGTTCTATTTTTAGTGTTTGGTTGTATTTGTTGTCGGATCATTTTGTTTTTTGAACTGTTGAAGGGGGAGCTTTGATTGGACTGCTGTCACTATGAGAAACTGACCTAACACTATAATCCTGAAGAGGGAGGGAAGTGGGGAGTCGGCAATGATAAATTTTTATGGACTGTCAATGCCAGTTAGCATTAGAACAAGCATCATTGCTTTGTCATTGACAAAAGAAATTCTTTTGGCCTGGTGTTCAGCGCTGTGGATCCACCATTTATAAGTGAAATAACTTTTAGGATGATAGCTTTACTTGGTCTGAAATTGTTGATTACTAGTTGAAAGTCGAAACACACAAACTTTTCTTTGATTCATGATTAACCTTTCTACCATGATGTATGGAAATTATGTTGATAGTTATTGGAAAGCCAAAATATATGCTTTGACCCCTCATTAGCCTTTCTACCTGATGTATGAACCACTCATTGATTCAGTTTATCTACATTCATGCCCTTTTGTTGACTTACCTTCAGCTCTGGTTGCTTTCTAGACATCTGTCCTAATATGGTCAATACAGAACCACAATATTGCCAGGCTACCTTGTGCACAAGGAAATCAATGACTCTAATTTTTGTGTGTAAACAGGTTTCGGTTAGTTCTGCAGGTTCTAACTGATGTGAGCCATTCACAGAACTTCCACTGAATCGCTGCAGTAGTAGAATATTTACAATGTCCCTAAATCTAAATTTTAATTTCATTATGTGGAACCATGTAGTTATTATTCAAGGAGAAACTAATTGAGCACATTTGCAGGTGGAAAGAAATCAAACAATTCGAGGAGAGGAAGAAGCAAGCGCAAGCAAAGGCATGCTAGAAGATGAAATTGAAGAAGGAGATGACTCTTCAGCAAAGGATTTAGCCCTTTTCCGGCTTCTGAGGCAGGGAGGTCGCCACCCATGTGACTATTTTGGTCTAGCCAAACAGGCTTTTCTCAAGTGCTTTGGATTGGGTTATGGATCCGAAAGTTGTCGCAGCAGCAATCATAGAAAGGAAGATTGAGGTGTGCAAATTTTTCCTCCCTCTTTCTCTTTCTCTTAACAATGCACAGATGCATCTTTGCCTTACATTTTGCAGGCACATAACTTCGATAATTATAAGGAAACATAAGGTCTCCATTGATTATGTTCTGCTTTTTGATAAGAAAGATTAGGTAGGCTCATACATAAGATACACATATTGTATCACCTTATGCTGAGTTTTGGTCTGTACTTTTGCAGCAGTAGAGTTGCTTTGAAAGTATGAATGCTGCAGGCCTTCAGATCCGAAACCTGTAAGGAGTCTGCTGTTATCAGCCTGTAAATTGAATGATCTCTTGATCCATATTCACCCAGGTCAAGTGTAGTTTCTTCCAACCTGATCATTGCTAACCCCCGGATATCAGCTGTAAACATGTAGGCAAGTTTGTGAGGCTTCTCGTAATTTGTTCAGTGTGATTTCATCAAATCTTTATCTGGACTAACTACGGCCATGGAAAGGAAGAGTATAAAATAAAAAAATTAATATGAATGTCTCGTGCTAGAAAATTTTTGAATAAAGACTGAATCAAAAATAAAAGCCTCGATGAATAATTTACTCTTCCAGGAAGCGTTTGACCTACCATGTACAATAACTATGGGGTGGACCATCCAAAGCAATTATTCTGTAGTCAAAAAGTACCCTGATTTACAATGGTAATTTCGGCAGTGACATCTTGCAAAAACGAGGGGTGGTGCTCTAGTAGTTTTGGACCTTGTACACGCAACAACTGATGGTCCAATTCTTAATCCTTGTTGTTTCAAACCACAAAAAACGCCCAGCAACAATTCTTATCAATTCCATTTCCGCCAGAATCAACCCACAAAAACGTGAGCGCAGCCAGAATTATGCCAGTACGGCAGATGGAACAATTTGGGTGGTTGGAGGAAATTCATGATCGAATGTAGCGATTGTGGTAATGAGTGCAAATAGGGCAGCAGAGTCCAGGATTGGGAGAGGCAAACGGAACAATCAGGTTCCGCCCGTTCCTCCACCTCTTCTTCCTCCAGGAAGGGAGGAATGGTGTGAGTGAAAGACATGCAGAAAAAATAGAGTAGAGCTGCTGAAATGTATAATTGAGAAGCTGCTGTAAAAAATCAATGATATATGAGGTAAAAGTTTTTGCATTTTTGCTAAGAGTATATGTTCAAATGGTCTTTTATATTTTGTAGAAAACTTAATTTGGATCTTTACATTAAAAACTCACTCATATGGTCTGTTACATTTGTCTTTTCAACTAATTTGGTCCTTTTTATTTTTTTTTGTCTTTTACATTTCTGGGTTCTTCGATTGACCAATTCTTTGTCAACTCAATGAGGGCATTTTCGGTATCGGTAAATTATAAATATTAGATTTTCAAAATATATTAAAAACCAAATATGTATTAAAATAATACTAAATATATTATATGAATTTATAATTTATTATTCAGTAAGAAAAAAAATTAAAATTTCAAAATTCAAATATAATATTATTAAAAAATTAAAAAAATTTAAAAAATCCAAAATCTGATTTTTTTTTTTACCCGTCAGCCCTAATCGAAATTTTTTACTCTTGATTATTCTGTTTTTATCATGTGGGGGCCACATATAATTTTTTTCTTTACCCTTATTCAGTATTTTTTTCGTGAGTTATTTTGGTATAACAAAAAAAAATATTAAGGGTAAAGAAAAAATTAGATGTGGCATGAGAAATCACATTTTAAATCAAATCTCTAACTCAAATCAAAAACTAAAAAGAAAACTAAAATTAACCATTGTCCATGTAAGACCTCTGTTTTTATCATGTGGGTCCACATCTAATTTTTTTCTTTACCTGTTCAGTATTTTTTTTTTGTTACACCAAAATAACTCACCAAAAAAAAATGAATAAGGGTAAAGAAAAAATTAGATGTGGGTCTCACATAATAAAAACAGAATAATTCAAGAGTAAAAAATTTCGATTAGGGCTGACGGGTTAAAAAAAAAAAAAAATCATATTTTGGACTTTTTATTTTTTTAAATTTTTTAATAATATTATATTTGAATTTTGAATTTTTAAATTTTTTTCTTATTTAATAATAAATTATAAATGAATTTAATTTTTTTAGTATTATAAATTAATTTTTTTCTTCATATTTATTCACCAACACCGGACCACCTCCACCGCTGCCGGACCGCCCAGTGCTGCCACCGGATCTTCGCGGGCCGACGGCCGGCCCAGCCGGATTCCGGCCAAATTCCGGCCAACTCGCCAGAATTCGGCCGGCCGACGGTGGTCTGGCGGTGGCGGTGGGCGGCCCGGTGACAACTGGTAGCGGTGGAGGTGGTCCGGTAGTGATGGATAAAAATTAAAAAAAATAATGTTTTAATTGGGGCCCACGGGTAAAAAAATAAATTAGATGTTGATTTTTTTATTTTTTAATTTTTTAATAATATCATATTTAAATTTTTAAGTTTTTAAATTTGTTTTTTTAATAATAAATTATAAATTAATATAATATATTTAGTATTATTTTAATACATTTTTGGTTTTTAACATATTTTTAAAATTTGATATTATAAGTTACCGAAAATGCCCTGTTGATTTGACCAAGAATTGGTCAGCCCAAGAACCCTCAAATGTAAAGGGCCAAAAAAAATAAAAAGGATCAAATTAGGTGAAAAGACAAATGTAATGGACCAAATAAGTGAGTTTTTAATGTAAAGGACCAAATTAACTTTTCTGCCAAATGTAAAGGATCATTTGAGCAGATTACTCTTTTGCTGATCTATCCAAAAAATTTCTTTATTAGGGCATCCACAACAATCGCTTATTTGCTGTGTAATGTCAGGACAAAAAAAACAGTAGACCGTTGGAACTCATTTACTACTTTAATATTGTCAAGAGTTAAAAATATTTCAAGTGGTGTAATTTTGATATAGAGTGGGGTGATGTGGGGCTCCTCACATTCTATAATGTTCTTTAAAAGTCATATATAAATGTTATTATTTTTTGTATATAAAAATGTAATTGTGAAAAATAAATGTAATTATTATTAAAAGTAAATGTAATTATTTTTATAAATAGCAAAGTATTAATAGTAGGATAGATGCGAGCTAGTGGGGTAATTATGGGTTCAAAATTATATGAGTAGTGAATGTAATATTGTTGTAGGAAGAAGTGTGTAAAGTGAGAGTGTAGTGAAATACTGACGTGGCAGTGTAATATTGCGTTGAATTATATAAGTTGTTGGGGATGCTCTTAATGCGTATTACAGTTGCCGCTGCAACATTTGGAAGTGGCATGTATCTGCTCCTAATTCTATCTTCGTTGTTGTTTGAAGAAGGGAGCAGCAAGTGATTGGAGCTAGCTGCCACCAAGAACTGTTGATGTTGACGGACAAACAAAGAGTGAGTAAAATGATTGTCTCGCCAATCATGGTAATTATCCTCTAACCCCCTCTTCTTCTCTCAACTTCATTTTACTTCTTTAATTTGCTAGGGTTGGTGAATTTTCAAAATTGTGTTGTTTTCAATTGTTTTATAGTATTCCCTCCGTCCCATAATTATTATCCAGTTTAACTAAGATGGAAGAATTTATCTTTAGTCAAACTTAATTATATTTTTACTTAAGTTTCCTGATATACCCTTATCCACTCTTCTCATTAACCTGTGCCCCAAATCCACCATTTCCCCAAATTATCTTCATTCTCGAATTTCCCCTCATTAATCTCATCAACCACCGGTACCCCAATTTCCCACTCCTCCAAGGGGACCGCCTCTTACTATTATCCTCCATGCAGGCCACCACCACCACAACAACCCCAAATTTAATCGATGTCAACTCACCAATCTCGAAGAAGTCGTCGTCGTACATCTCAACAGGGACAAATAGCTGAGCGATTGCCGTTGGATGAGGAGGCTGAATTGGATCTTGTAGAGTCACTTTTTCCAGGCCGACACTCGGTGGAGATGCCGGCGTCGACTTCTAGGTGAAGTGTGTGCGATAGTGTGACCAAGTAAAATGGTTTCAATGACATATATTTTTTACTAAAGGCCATATGTGTAATTTAATTAAAAAGTCAAATCAGAAAATAATTTCGAGACAAATTTTTTTGGTAAATTAGACAATAATTATGAGACGGAGGATCATTTGATGTCGGTGAAGGAGAAAATGACTTATCCCTGTTAGGTACAGTGACAGTGCAATGGTGAACACACACATGAAACCAATACGATGATGATAGGCATCCACACTTGGCATCCAGTTCAACCATACTTGGCATCCACACTTTGATGGTATTAAAGGACAAAATGCCATACATTTATTTTTATAAGATAAATTTCATCAAAAATATAAATTTTATGTAATCAAAAAACTGTTTCAAACATAACAACTAACTAATTAACATTGATCTTTTGCAAATAAACCAGGAAATTTATTCTTTCAATTGTATGAAAAGAGCAGTTACTTTTTTTTTTTTTATATTATCTTCTTTGTACGCCAGTTACAGGTGTTTTGCACATAAATTGCACATAGTTTTCTGTGAATCAAATATAGGATTAACATACTTTTCCCGTCATTTCGATATGTAGGTCATATACCAAAATATAAATAATTTTAAGTTTCAAAGCTTTTACATTGCTAAATTTCTAACTTTACGCTCAATAAATGATGCTAACGTTTTTATATAATAGTCATACTAGATTTATCTATGCTCGATTTAAAAATTAATTATAAAAAAAAGTCTAAAATAGATGGCGTATGAAAAAGACATACAATGTAAGAATAAAAGTTAATGATCATGTAAATAGTAAACTGGTGGGTTTGATTTGTGTATTGTCGTTGATCCACTTCCCAAAAGAATACTTATAAACCTACGTAAAACTATTAGTTAGTGGTAAGCAGGGTTGTTCTACAGAGACGACAGTCAACCGCTCAAAATCTGATTACAGTACAGAAAAGAAAGAAAATAGTTTGAACAGATTGTTACTTGGGAGAGCGAGAATAGTCACTTGACAGAGTGAAGAGGCAGAAGGGTCAATCACCTTCCTACTTTTATGATCCAATTTTGATTTAAAGATTCCTGTAGTGTATGATTAGTTGTTCGATCAGGCATTTATATTTTTTATAATTCCTTCCAGGCAGAATAAAGAGTCCTAGATTATCTAAATCACCTACCTTCCGGTCAGAGTAATTCATTAATATAAGCCATTGAGTTCTTAAGCCCTCTTTGAACGCATACACCATTCACCTAACTTCCGTTGATGTCTGGAACCGCAGGGTAGATTTCCTCCATTATCATAGACTAGATTAAGCAGTTCTAAGGTTATGCTCCCCTCTCTATATCTTCATAACTATGCAAGCACATTTAATTAAGTAGCCAAGTTAATTAAAAGATTAATTAAATCACTTATCTACGCACAACACCTAATCAAGGAAATTGAATCAAAACCTTCACATAAATATAGTAGGGATTGAACTCTTAACTGAGTTAGCTACTCATGTTTATCGAGTTAAACATGAGAGAAACAAAGTATAAAAGATAAGACATGAATCTCGATCAAAAGGTTAGAGGAAAGAAATGGAGGATGGTAGCAGGGACATATTCTGTCCGCTCACTATGGCGAGTGGCGTTCACAACTTGATAAAGTGACAGACTGCCTTCTTGTTCCTGCTACTACCTTGTTTCTAACCTACTAACTAACTACCTAACTACTGTCTTTGTGACTAAATCTAACTACTCAATTTGTTGTTTTTCTAACTGCTATTGGTTGACTATTTATAGAAATTTGGAGAGGCTTGGATTGGTGCAATTATGACCTTCCTTTCAACAGAGCAGAGGAGACAGCAAGTTGCAGCAGCCAAAGGTATTTGTTTATTCAGCAACTTGTTTATTGGGCAAGTTGCTTCCTTCTCTGGTTAGCTCCTTTCTTCTTCAGCCGCAGTCGGCCATCTTCTACTCATCATTGCTACTTCTTCTTAGTCTTCTTCTCCGGCGCCTTCCCTCTATTTGCGGCCACAAATCTCCATTTCTTCATTCTTTATTCCCCACTGCTCAAATTGCAGCAGTCAGTAAGCAGTAGCATCAGCAGCATGCTTCCTTCCATCATTGTGTTTCCAGCCCCCAATTTTGCCTGAATCTTCTGCCATTTTCTTCCTTGTTTCCTGGGTCACTTGCTACATTATTGCTCACCCTTCTTCAGCAGCCAATCCTTCAACTCAACAGCAAAATCAATTGGTAAGTAGCAGAG